ATCCTCAGCCCTCCCCTCCAGGGGGTCCCCCCCCCCTCCAATTGAAGGAGAGAGCGGGTCACCCTGAAGAGGGCGGCCGGGCGATTATCTGATGACGCAATGAGTGAGGCATAGTAGTTAGTCCTAGCCTCCCTCATCGCCACAAGGTAGGATCTAAGATGTATCCTTACCTGTGCTCGATCGGATTCGGTTCGGCTGGTCCTCCAACTGCTCTCTAGGCGTCTTTTCCGACGTTTCATCTCTCTCAGCCCCTCGGTTACAAATATAATAATCATAATCTAACTAACCTTAACCAACTATATAAATAACCAAGTCCATAATGCGCTTTAACTCCCCTTTAAGATAAATATAATAATAATAATAATAATAATAATAATAATAATAATAATAATAATAACATAAACAAATTAGTATCCTAATTATTAAACAATAGAATGTCTATATTGTTAAACAATACTAATACTAAAAATAATAATAATAATAATATGTGTGTGTTTTAAAAGACCACCCAACTCTACAACAAGTCTGGGCAACGTGTGTGTGCGGTGGAAGCAGTCAGACTTTTTAGGAAAGGGTTTGGCAACCTGCTGTTCCAGTCTTTGATCTCAGAAAGCAAAGTGTTTGATCTCTGTGCCCGTTCAGAGGGTGTGAACAACGGAATGAAGATGTTGACATCTGTGAAGATGTCGACATCTGTGGCTCAGTTGTGGGATGTTAACTTCTAGGGATGCAAATGCGGGACTCCTACTCTTGGGAAACCTAATCATTGCCTTGGGCTGAGAAAACGGGGCCTGAATCCCTGGCTTTTCCTGAGTTTTTGGGAGAGAGGCCGTTCCAGGACCAAGGCTGGCCGAGGGGAGTGGCGGGTCCAGGCAGGTGGCCTCTTGTTCCCACGGACAAGGGTAAGTCCTGCCTTTGAGCTGGGAAAGCTGAGCACACCTAGGGGCAGGGGGTCTCCAACCTTGGCCACTTTAAGACGGGTGGGCTTCGACTCCTATGCTAGCTGAGGAATTCTGGGAATTGAAGCCCACCCGTCTTAAAAGTGGCCAAGGCGGGTGGCCGGACCCTTTCCTAAAAAGTCTTGACTGCTTCCACCGCACGTTGCCCAGGCTTGCTGTAGAGGTGGGTGGTCTTTTAAAACACACACATACACACACACACTGGGTTGGTGGTGTAGGAATCCCTGCCTGAGCAGGGGTTGGACTAGAAGACCCCCAAGGTTCCTTCCAGCTCAGTTTCTCAGCTGATTCCACCCTGCTTGGAGTCTCTGCTGGCCTGGAGGAACTAGAGCAGGGGTCTTCAAACTTGGCCCTTTGATGACTTGTGGACTTCAACTCCCAGAATTCCTCAGCCAGGCACGCGTGCCTGGCTGAGGAATTCTGGGAGTTGAAGTCCACAAGTCATCAAAGGGCCAAGTTTGAAGACCCCCGAATTAGAGGGAACCCACACACCTAGGGGAGGGGGTCTCCAACCTTGGCCACTTTAAGACGGGTGGACTTCAACTCCCAGAATTCCTCAGCCAGGATGCTTGAAGACAGGGGTCTTCCAACTTGGCCCCTTTGATGACTTGTGGACTTCAACTCCCTGGGGCGTGCCTGGCTGAGGAATTCTGGGAGTTGAAGTCCACAGGTCATCAAAGGGCCAAGTTTGAAGACCCCTGGGATAAGGTGAGGTTTGGAAGCTGTGGGCAGCTGTGGGTCGGGGGGAGGGAGTGAAGGGGAAGCAGCCCCCAGAACCCTTTGCCTTCTGGGGGGACCCACTTCAGGACCTCCAGGGCCCTTCCCATCACTGTCCCTCCCTCCACCTAGTCTGGATCTGCCCTTCCCCACACGCTGAGGCTCCTGAAGGGCAGGTGGTCTTCACAAGGTGTACAGGCAGCCCGCCGGGTACAAATCATTTCTTTCGTGATCCAAGTTACAACGCTTGCAGCATCCCTGTGGCCACTTGATTGAAATTCGGGACGCTTGGCTCGTGTTTATGACGGTCGCGGCGTGCCGGGTGTGGGTGTGTGTCATGTGATCCCGTTTTGCGACCTGACAAGCCAAGTCAGTGGGGGGAATCTGGATTCGCTTAACAACCTGGCTACTAATTTAACAACTGCAGTGATCCACTTAACGAATGTGGCAAGGAAGGTGGTAAAATGGGGCAAAATTCAATGACCTTGCTTAGCAATGGCAATTTGGGGTTCAAGGCCTGCCTGTGTTGGACGCCCCCTCCAAAATCCAGCCTAATCCGGTGCTCTTCCTTCTTCTCTCCCCCCCCCCCCAGGTGTCACAAGGTGCAGGACTCTCTGCTCAGCTCGGCCAGT